ATTCCCGGGGCCCCCCCCCCCCCACCCCCCCCCGCGCCCCCTGCCGTCGCCCGATTCGCTTCGCGCGCGCGCGTGTGTGTGTGTGTGTGTGTGTGTGTGTGGTTGCTAATCGTCGTAAAAATCTGACAAATGCAGCTCGGGGTGGAAGATGCAGCGATATATAAAGTTTATGTAGATGGCATCCGTCAGGTAGTGTGAGAAGATGTCATCTTCTTAAAAGAAGAAGTAAAATGATCAAAAGCCCAAAATTTCGGGATTTTTTTTGAGGCAGAGGATGGTGTAAAACCATGGCGAGCAGCTGGCGGCGGGGCGTATGGCAGTGGCTGTCGCCACCACTGCGTGTAGGTGGCCTGGCTGCCCAACCTGGTGGGGTGGGTCTGCCCCTGTTGTGCAAGTCCCGGCTTCCAGCCTATCATCTGTACTGGGGGAACGCTGCTGCGGCACGTAGCGCTGCCAGCGACCGTGACCGTTTGTACAAATTTAATGGACCCATTCCGAGTGGTGAGTATACTCGACCGAGAAGCCTGAGGTAGATGCTGTAGTGGTTGTCTGCCCTCTTAACGCGGGGTGAGGAAGGGATGGAATCTTCTCCACCAGGCTTTCATTGGTGTGTCTCTTTCATGCGATGCCTCGTGGTGTGAAGTAGACGCGCTTCAGATTCAATTTGCTCGCAGCAGTGGACCTGGCGGGCAAAACGTCAATAAAGGTACGAGGGTTGGTCGGCGCTTTGACCTCCTGTATATAAACGCTGTGCGCTGTGCAGCACGTGTGCGGCAGTGGTGCGTTTCACCGCTCAATTGGCCTTTTGGGCCCGACTGCCTAGTCAACACCAAGGCCGATGTGCGTTTCCATGTGGCCAGCGCCGAATGGCTTCCAACCGAGGTCCGCGAAAAGCTGCAGGAACAGGTACATGTTCATGCTTACTCGTCAAGTCACGACTTTAGACGCACCCTGGCCCCTGCGTCTGATTGCGCTTGCCCTTGGAGTAGCAGCAAAGTCGTATCAACAAGAACGGCGAACTGGTCGTTGCCGTGTCGGACACGCGCAGTCAGAAAAAGAACCTGCAATTGGCCATGCAGCGTATTCTAGACGTATGTTCCTTTGTCTCACAAGTCAGCGCATAGCTCTTGCTGTCAACATATGACCGATGCTGCGTGAGCGCTCGTAGATGTGCCGGGAAGCATCGGCCATTGAGCGCGAGACTTCTGCGGAGACCAAACAACGCATCAAGAAGCTGTATGTCATTGCCATGACCAGTGCCGTTCCCGTCTGCGGACCATACACACGCACGCACGCACATTCACAAAGTCCTATCTTGTGGCCTCTCGCGCGACCACCTGACAGCCAAGCTCGGGAGGACAAGCGTCGGCTGGAGAACAAGAAAAAGCATGCGCAAAAGAAAGCTGATCGCCGTCGCCTCGATTGAGTCCAATGCCTCTCCTCACGATGGATAGTGCGTCGCTTGCTCCTATTCAGTCGCCTACCCTGAAGCCCCCGAACACCTTGAGATTATTCATAGTAAGAGAAGCATCAACAATAATTGACTTGAAACACCCCAGGACATGGACTCCAAGCACATGGCGGGTATCCTGCTGTGATGATCCTCCCAGCTTCCAGAACCAAGGCCGAAGCAAAACCACACCACCACCACCCTCCTCCGTGCATCCATGCCCCCAAGCACCATGCTCGACTTGTGTGTGTGTGTGTCGTCGTCGAATTTTGCGTGACATTTGTAAGCAGACGGTGTGAAGAACATATTGTCTAAATTACAACACTTATTGAAGTTTTTAATGCTAGCTCAATGTTATTTCATGGGCAAACTCTTGCAGTTTATGCAGTTTCATTGAGTCTCCAAATGATCAAGCAGCTTGACTTTTTTTGAGATCCGACTTAATTGACGGGGGACGGGTGGACTAGCTGATTGATCGGCCTGACCTGAGAGAGGGGCTGGCTGGTTCTGCTCGGCCTGGGAGGCGGCTGGGGTGGGGTTGTACAGGCTTGGAAGCAAAGAAAATGGAAGGCATGGTAGACCCGGTTCCGGCAGCGCTGGCGACGCTGCGGCATGCCTTGACACAAGATGAAACGGCTCTGCTCGAAGCGCTCAGGCACACACGCGACCTGATCGTGGGCCATAAACAACGGTACGTGGCCAGCACAATCTTCGCGTGCCCCGCATTGCCCACATGGTACTGGCAACTAGCGCTCATCTTGTCTGATCGTCTCGTTTTCAACTCCCGCTTTCGCGAGCGCAGAAAGCAGTCGGCCTTGCATGAAGGACTCCATCTCCTACTCCTTGACCTTGTGGAACGGCATGGTTCCTCCTTAGGCTCGGGCTTGGCCCAGGCCCTTCTTGCCACATTGACTGTCCTCCTGCGTGACAATGCTTGCACACTCAACCATAGCCAGGCTCGGCTTCTGGTCGCTTTCGCCGCAGACAGGGAAGCTGCCGGCCTCGTCCCCATCGGCCAGCTCAAGTCTGTGGCTCGCCTGTTGGCCGTGGACGCCCTGGCCCATGCCCCCGCCCAAAACATGCTTGAGACGATGCATGCCAGATGTACAGAACTGCTGGCCAGTGATTTACGTCTTCCCCACGTTCGCCAATCCTGCGAGACTCTCCTGCTGCTCGCCCGCGGCTCTGACTTGCACAACGAGCCCGTCCAGGAGCTCTGCCATCACGTCATCACCAGCCTCAGCCCCCGCCTCGTGCAGCTTTCCCATGCTGAAATTGCTCTCTTGGACCTTGCACTCAATGCTTTGCCCACTCCCGAAAGCCATGGCGTTCTGCCCCTGACCTCAGAAGACCTCATGCAGATGATCATGGCCTCAGTACACCCCGACCTGACTCTCACACTCTGCCACCTGTACGGCATCCCCCGTTCCTGAGTCAACCGTCATCCTCCCCGAAGTGGCTCGAGTCCTCGATTCAAAGACTCGCCTGTCTCATCCGTATTGCCCCATGCTGCCCCGCCCCTTGGCGCCTAGATGTGTCAGCCATGCACAACATCTGCCACCTCAGGGATCCCCACCGCCCATCACAGCCGTGTGTATTCGGCGTCTTCTGGACTTGATGAAAGGCGCCGAGCGCCCTTTTGTTCTCAGAGCACTTGCCATCCTTGCGGATACTCTACAGCTCCACATTGCGCCCCGACCACACCAACGGCCAGGATCGGCTTCCCTCGAAGTGGAGCTCATCGAGTCAATCGCCCGTGGCCTCTGCCAGGCTTTTGACCGGTGTTCGACCGATGCCTCCGCCCCACCCATGATCCGGGATAAGCGGTGGTCCTCCGATATACACACTCGCTCTTCGTCCAATTTGAGTGGCAGTGTGCATGCACTTCGCCCCGAGCCCCTGACCACGCTCGTCGAGGCTGACATTTGTCTCAGGCCAGGAGACGTTCAGGTAGAGCCTTCTCACACCCACTGTGCCCGAGCCAGCCATGAGGATGTGACCTCCTTTGCTCACCTCAAAATTGTCTTGCCACGCGTCTCAATGAGTGTAGGCCATTTTGCAGTCTTGTCAAATGGTGCTCGAACAGGGTCTTTTGCCCTCGGCGGATCTAACCCGAATCATCCTCAAGCTTCAGCCCAAGGTCTCAGCACCTCCGTCACTGGCGCTTGCGTGGCTAAACGCCATGTCCCGGACCTGTCGATACCTGGTCATAGTGCGGACGCGGCTGGCCAATTCAACCGTGCCGGTGCACGTCCTCGCCCTGCTTGAGGAGCATGCCGAGGATCCTCTCATCGTGATTGCCGCGCTCCGTGTGGTGGCAAACATGGCGGGACATCCTTCGTGTCTCAAGAGTGTGCTCATTGGACATCGCCTATTAGACCTTGTCATGCCCTATGTCACGAGCACACGGCTTGTTGAGCGGGAGCTCTGCCTCAGTGTATTTGCTGTATGTTGCCCTGCTCCTTGTCGGTTAGGTTCACATAATCCTTGGTTTCCCTTACCCGTTGAGCCTCATACATGTGGCCGCACTCGCGACGGGGAGTAGAACCTTTTTCACGAGTGTACGGACCGCAATCTGGACACTGCTGTGGCCTACTTGGCCACGCGTGTTCTTCGCGACATGCACGACCGCGTGGACAGCCACACCTTGCTAATCGAGCAAGTAAGCGTTGAATCTCCCACACCTTGTCCACACGATTCTACGATCCTGTGGTCACTGCTGGCCTTTTGGCTCCAGGATGCAAGTTGGCCTCACTGCCTGACTAGGATTAACTCAGGAATGCTTGCTTCTTTCTTTCTTTTTTTTCTCTTTTTCTTTTTTTTTGTGCGTGTGTGTGCGTCCGTGCCTTGTGCGTCTAGCCTGCGTCAGTGAAGCAGCAGTATCTTCGATTTTTGACCAATGTCATTTGCTCCGTCTGGGTACGAGCGACCAAGGCTACATGGTGACCGCCCTCAGGCATCTCTTGCTTCGACAGAAGTCCTAACATCAACTTTCTCAAACCTTGCCCTTGTAGCGCGAAGGGGTGCCTTTGCTAGATGATTGCATCGCAAGCCTGGGCCCGAACTTCTTGACCGATCTGCTCACGATTGTCAAGACAGATACAAACCCCATTGTACTGCGTCCCGTACGTCGCGTCCCACCTCGTTTTGCTTATGAATAAAAGCATGCCCTTGTAAAGATTTTGACACCACCGGCTTGCTGAATGATGACAGGCACTGAAATATCTGGCTCAAGCCTACCAGGGAAGTCATCAAGCCCAACACGAAATCGCACAAAACGGCCGGAGCGTGTTGGACACACTCAAACGCTGCCTATTGCTACCAGATACTGGTTTGCAACTTGCCAGCTTGCACCTCATTGAAACACTGACTGGACTCGTTGATTACAGCTATGGTGGTCAGTCAAGTCAACCCCTGGCCATTCGAATCATGTTCCGATTCTTTTGCCTCAACTCACATTCCCCTTGTGTCTCAGAAGTCAAGCAAGAGAGCCTCCAATCCATGGCCCAACACATCCGCGACGCCGATCTGAGTGCAGCCCTTCGCCAATACCAGGACGCCTGCACCCACATAGAGTGCCGCGATCGCTGTCGTGATCTGCTCCAACGCCAAAATGCCCTCCACCAAAGCACCTTCACCAGCATGGATGTCGAGTCGGAGTGGACAGAGTAATCGAATCCACGATTGCCGATTCACCCACCTCCTTGGGATGCCACCGCACATGCTTTGACAGCACCCTCACACGCTAACAACTCATCACGACACATTTTTCTCACCTGTCCGATCTAAATCTCTCGAAGTCTCACCACATCTCTTTGAATCCTTTGTCAAGCTCTCTCTCTCTCTCAAGCTCTCTCTCAAGCTCTCTCTCTCTCTCTCTCTCTCTCTCTCTCTCTCTCTCTCACTCTCATCTCTCTCATCTCTCTCACTCTCTCATCTCTCTCACCTCTCTCATCTCTCATATCGCTCTCATCTCTCTCTCTCTCTCTCTCTCTCTCTCTCTCTCTCTCTCTCTCTCTCTCTCTCTCTCTCTCTCTCTCTCTCTCACAAGCTCTCTCTCTCTCTCTCACAAGCTCTCTCTCTCTCACAAGCTCTCTCTCTCTCTCTCTCTCTCTCTCACACACACAAGCTCTCTCTCTCTCAAGCTCTCTCTCTCTCAAAACCTCTCAAAACCTCTCAAACTCTCTCTCTCAAACTAACTCTCTCAAACTCTCTCAAACTCTCTCAAACTCTCACTCTCTCTCTTCAACTCTGATGCTTTGACATTTGCACACTGTGGTGGTTTGGAGGGCTGAGCCGAGGTACGATCGGAACTTTTTTTGTCTATCGGCTCAAAGGGGGCGAGAGGGCTGTGGTATCAGAGTCAGAGCGCACTCATTCCGTGTGCGCATGATGGTGTGGAGGACAGGATCAAGGCGTAGAGAACATACTTGCACGGCGCTTGCAGACGGACCAAGAAGAGCAAGCGCAAGGACTGGAAGCTTGTGTCACTGAATCATGGCGGAGGAGACGAGCAAGGAGCGGCCCGAGGATGGCGCCGTGTCAGTGCCACCAGCTGCTAAGCAAGACGCGACAGCGGCCCAGGCGGCACCAGCACCAAAGAAGCGCACCACTTTCCGCAGCATGTTCTCCAGTTTACGCGCCGCGGTCTCGCATGCTGCCCCAGCCTCGTATGTTGCTCAATGTCCTTGACACATTCATCCGCCTTCTAAAATGTCTTGTCGTCGAGTTTGCCCCATCTCGGCGCGATCCTGCTGACGCACCACTCTTTGCAAGGCGCTCTACCTCTTTGCGCTTCCTCGCCTTTTGCCTTGCTTTGCATCTCAAGGCATGCATGCTTGTCGTCGACCCACTGCAGACGTGAAGCCGAGCCAGTCACCGAGAAAGCGGCAGCGCCTCCAAACGCGGAGGAAAACGCGCCTGCCAGTGACGCAGCCCCATCCCCTGCCATGAACAGTGCCGCCGCATCTGCCCCCACTTCCGTGCCGCCCTCGACCCCTGCCTCTAAAACAGGCTCGAAAGCTAGCTCGCCCGACAACAAGACCGACACGAAGCGTTCAGCCCTGCAGCGCTTGCAAGCGGCCACGGCCCACGCCGCCGAAGCCATGGTCAATACAGGACGACAAGTAGCACGTACCTCCTCCTCCTCCATTGCGGCGGCCTCCGTCTCCAAGGACACCTTTCCCGATTGCCCCATGGATATCAATCCCAGTACCGGACTCAACTGGGTCACCTACATGGCCGACAACTGGGTAGTCTTGCGCACCCAAGCAGCCCAAAGCGCTGGCCTGGCCCGAGCTGTGACTGATCCCATGGAACGACTTTCAGCCAAAACCAGCACTAAACGCACCAAGTCAGTTTTTTTGACCAACTGCAGCTGGGCACACACACACACACACGCGCGCGCGCGCGCGCGTCTTCACAGTGAACCTTATGGCATGGTGCTCACCTCCCACCTTCCCCGATCCATCTGTTTGCCCCCTGCAGAGCCCAAGAAGTACACGATAGCCTGAGCAAACTCAGTCAGATGCACGAAAACGTCGAGCTTTGTGCCTCCAAGCTCGTCTCCATCGCAGTGCGTTCTGACTCCTGGCAGCCTTCCCTGCGCTTGCACCGCGCCGGTCATTCACGGTGCTTGCATCTTACATCGCAACATTGGTGACGCTAGGCGGGTCTGGACCAGCTGAACGATGTTCTGGGTCGCCTGCAAGAGCTGAGCATTGAGCGCAACGTAATTGTCCAACGAGTGAGTCAGCTTGCTGGCTTTGATTTTGGCTTTGGTGGTCGTTGGAGTCCCCACCTCCCCGCTTGTTGAGAGGGGCCCTGATGGCGCCTCATTCGCCCACCTCGCTCGGTCCGGATGTATGCGCGAGTAGACAAGCCTGTATAGAACCTTGACGGCGCACACGGCACAGCGCCTCTCGGATGTAAATCGTGCCAAGGTTCAACTTAAGCAGGAGCACGATCGCCATGTCTTGGTGTCACAGGTCGGCCACATGAGACCTTGGCTTTCCGTGCATCCTTGCGTTTCCAGGCCCATGCCCACTCGTGACCTGCGCCTTTTCTAACGATGGCGCATCTGCTGCTGCCCGTGCGGTCCGTCAATGGCAACAACCAATAATAAACCCTCCAAATGCATGCAGTCGATGCAATCAGACCCAGCCCTTTTTGAGATGGCCATGCGACATCAGCTAGAGAAGCTTCGCCAACACCGATCACTGGGTTTGTGTATGCCTCCGATCGAGCACGCCCGCAGTCCAGTCCACTGTAATTGCATCTCACCTTTCATATTATATTGTCTGCCCATCGAAATAGGTTCAACAAAGTCGTCTGAACACGAACCGCTACGCATGGCTCAGGTCTCCCACCCCTCCGCCAAGCCTCTGCTGTGCCCTGTTTTCTCCCATCCTCCCATTTTGTTTGTGGTCCTCTGTCAAATGCTTCTTTGGCTCATCCGTCCGGTGTGTGGTGTAGATTGAGTTGGTGGATGCGGAGGGCCAGGAGCGTCTCGATGAATTCTTGGCAGATGTGAGCGAGCCTGTCTCACCCGTCAAGTCAATGTCCCATGAAGGCCTTGAGGTTTGTCGAAAGCCCACACACATACTTTGTCTCGCCCGATGCCTCTGCAAGCACTGGTTTCACAGGTGGCGATTCCTCATTGGCCCCATCCCGTGGCCAGTCCAACACGCTAGTGAATGCCCAGGACGAAGAGCCATCGTCGACTCCTGAATTGGACAAATCAAACGAGAAATCACAGTGAGCTGGGTCCTACCTCAGGGCTAGATAGGTAGATTTGATAGAGACACCCTGGTGTCGTTGAGATTCCCCAACCATTCATACAACAGTCTTGCTGACACCCTCGAACCCCTTGATTGTTTGCTCCACTCGTGCGCAAATTGACCAAGAGCCAACTTCACGATTGCAACGACTGATAATGATAATGATGGTGGTGCCGCCGCTGTCATCTCCTGGAAAAGACAGAGCAGAGTCTGCCTCGCC